CCAGATAAAGGTGAATTCAGAATTATTGAAATGCAAGTTGCCAGACGAATAATGCGCTTAAATGTTCTCATTAGAGATATAGAAAATATTCATCGTTATTACCATCTTTACAAAGCAAAAATTCCTGTACAACTATCTGATCCATCCCTTATAACAAATTTTGTAAAGACTTTACTGATTTTATGGAATATTCTAATAGTTAATATGTCTTTACTACTTAACGCACCCTCAGTTAGATCTAAAAGAAATAAAGGCAGTTCAAATGTAGATTCCGAATAGATAGAATTATATATGTAGTAAATTTATTATTATTTTTTCTGTATCAATAAAGTAACCCTTGCGGTCGATTTCGCAAATATACATTCATGTTTTTATGTGAGGTATATATCGAATAATAAAATTTTCTTGGTAAATTTCAGCGATTTTAGGTCGCCCAAAAATCATGTGAGATTTTTTTTATTTTGAATGCTCATTCATATACAGTGCATAGAAATATTTACGAAAATAGAATCTGAGCTTGATTCGCTTAGGCAAGAAAATGCTAGACTTATAGCCAAGATTAGTGGGATTGAGAGTGAGAAGTTGGAGATGAAATGGATATTTGAGGCTAGAACCGATAAGTTACATAATACTATAGCAGAATTTACAACCAAGATTGGAAAACTTAATGCTGAAATAGTGGAGCTAAAGAAAAATAAGTTAGCTATCCCTAAACTTAAGTCCGAAAATGTTGAGTTTAGAGATAAAGTTGGGAAATTAGAGCAGAATTACAGGCTGATGCAAAATGACCTGCCTGATATCTCCAGTACCCTTTCAAACATGAGTGAACAGAAAGTATCAGAAGAAATAAGTAATTGTTTGCTTAAACAAACACTAATACCAGATGTACCACCTACCAATAAACTTGAATCTATTATAGCTCAGCCTGAGCAGTATAATCCTAATGTGGAAGATACTTTCTTGGACGAGGTATACAAGAAAAGTGTTAGTGATGAGATAAAGTAATGCAATAAAGAGAAAAAACAACTGTGTGAACGGACAGATATGAAAGTAAAGGCTTCCCAGCAAAAAAGTGAGCAGGGGCTGATTTGAGAAATGACTTCATCCAGAGAAGAGGATGAAAAACAGCCGAAAGGTGCTTCACATGTGACTGAAATTTCAGCGAATATTGATCAGCTAAAATAGAATATTATCAGTCTTTACCAACACGCATGTGAAGCTGAAAAAGATGCAATCAAAGCCAATAGAGAAGAAACATTACGTTAGTGTTTCTATGCAAGAGAATTCAAAACATGTATAAGGAATATATGGTCAGCAATAAAGCTGGGAAGAAAAAGGCGAAGGGCAAGTATATGATTATATTATCAAGCATTTCCCAAACACCAAGCATAAAACCTTATGTAGGCAGACACAGAGAGCTTTAAGAATTGATAATTTATTCGATAAAATAGGTGAGGACAAGATTTATTATATCAAAACGTATAGTGCAGATACTATATCAAAATTTACTAATTCTCAGATTCAAACGATTATAGATCACTTCACTAAAAAGCCTAATATAGAATTTGCCAATGATCCTGAAGAATAAAATAACTTTATTACTGATTCTAAAGAGACATCAGAGGCGCAAACGAAATCCTTAATTTTAGCTGAGGATTATGAAAGATGTATATTTTGATAATGATCCTATACCTCAGTCAGTGAAAGAAACAAATGAAGAGGTTACTTCGTAATCAGATAAGGTAGATGATGATAGTGACTGGCCAGACTAGAGGGTTTTGAAGAATCAGGCGCTAAAGCATAGTCATAACAATAATTCTGAAGAAGAAATATTAGATGATTCAGATGATAAATATAATAAATACAGTAGATACAGTGGATGTGGTAAAGGTTATTATTATCGTGATGGAAGATATGAAAGGAAAGTCTCACCAATGATGAGTCCTATTATATCTCCAGTATCCGCTTAGGAGAATTATTAGGTAGATTGTAGACTGAATTATCATATAGGTTTATTTTTTTTAGCTGAATCGAGATCAGCAAATTCCTCCCTTATATCTTTGGTACTGCGAAAGATAAGCCAACTGTTTAATAGAATATTTTTTTGAAGTTGATGTATAGAAATAATCAGAAAGCTTTTCTCCTAAAGATCTTTGATCGAAGGGGCGGACATTAGGGTTGCCATATTTGCTTCATGTTTTGCAACGATCGTAGCCAGAATTGCGAAATTGAAAGATAATCAAGCATAGAACGAATTTATAAAAAATTTAATGTCTGTACTGCAAAACATGTGATCCTATATTACTAACAGATCTCTCACGATATTGGCGTGTAAATTTCGTCTTACTCAATAGTTTTGAGAAAAAATTCTTTTCATTAGTTGGGGTACTTTTTTTCTTGTACTTCTGTAAAGTAAAATCCTGGTCAAAATCACGCATTTTTTAAGGATCTATATAAATCAAAGGTTCACTCATTCTCTTTTATAATCGCGAAAAAAGAATGTCATTTAGCAGGCCTTATCCAAGGTAGAGAAGAACATGTGAAGAACATAAAGCTAAGCTGGAGGAGGAGAACTTTCATCTTCGAGATGTATTACAGATAGAGGTAGAAAATAATCGCCTGAATGAAAAATGGTTTATCAACTGGAACAAAATTATTTCCAGTGTGAACAAGAAATCCAAAATCTCAATAAAGACATAGAGCGTCTTGAGAATACTTCAGAAGAAGAGATAGTAGAGCTAAGATTTGAAATCTCAGTCTAAAAAGTCAGCTATATCAAGCTAGGAAAGATGTGTGAAATAAGGAACAATATATCTCTACCTTAGAAGAGCAGTTAGTAGAATCTGAGAAGCAGGTAGAAAAATTGCGATGTCGAATCAGAACTATCTCATCAAGGAAAAATTTACCAGTATGAGGGAATTCTCCTGACCTGTATAATTCTGATGATAATATGATCACAATTACAAAGTTAGCAAATGCTATAGATGGTTATCTAAATAATAGAGCAACAGCTAGAGACATTCTAATAGATCAAATAAAAAGGGTAACAAGGCAAATTCGTTGAAAAGAAAATAATCTGCATCAGGATATAGTCTGGGAGCAGAGAAGACGATATGATGCAGAAGCTGAGCGTGATAATG